GTTGATTTTGTTATCACTTATTTCAATTTCTTTGTGCAACATTCAAAAAAAGAATATACGATGGTTCCTAAGACTATTATTGTTGTACTTTTGGGAGTTTTGATTTGCAAAGCTGACAATGTTTTTTGTAGAGATCTTGTTGGAGACGAAAACACATCGACACGACATGGCGGAGTTATTAGTAATATTGGTTGTGGAGCCCCAACAAGAATCTCATGTGGAGGTAATGTCATACAGATACATGTAAGAGGAGATGTTAAAGATGAGTTTGTAAGAGGGCCTAAAGATTATATCAGTGAACCATATGAGAATAGTTCAACCGAAGCGAACCAGGCAATTGCAGGTGCTCTGAATGGGGTGATAGTAAGGGAAAATGAGCAAATTGGTGTGATTAAGGAGCTGGAGCTACTTTATGAAAATTCTCTAGAGGGTGGGGAAAATGCCACATCGAGTGAGCTAACTGTTTTAGCATTCCAGGCGATTATAACAGATATACAGCTTGTTATTAGAGCAGTCCAAAAGCTACAACAACGACTTTCTAGTTCTTAACAATGGAGATGGAGGAGGATGAATATTTAGAACAAAATTGGAGCAAACACCTTGGTAACGGTATCTATGTTTAAGTAAACATGTATGGTTTGACTTTATATCTACAATTCATGTTTTATATCTCCATATGTATTAAATCAATAAAGAATAAACCGATGCAATACTGAATTTCGATTCTTGGTTGTTCCCTCTTATGACTTTGTATTTGTATTTGTACTTTGAAATGTTTAGAATTATGGCTATAGGTCTTCAACAAAATAACTCTTTTTTTTACCATTCAAGTGGAAGCTCCTTTCTTTTTACCCTTCTTATGCACTATTAATTTCTTACCATTTTTATTACTGATAAACAACTTCTTACCCTTCTTCACATATAAATTCCCCTTCACTTTTTTTCCTCCAATTTTCACTTGATCAGATTCTACAATCTTAACTTCCTCTTCCACCTTCCTCATTGGTTTAAACACTTCTGTAATCAAAGGATTCAAAACATCACTGGAACACTCAAGTTTCAAATTCATACTCATTGCCTCATCCCAAAGCTCTTTCCCCTTTTCAAATTCACCATTTTTACAAAGCTTTGGTATTAACAAATCATAAACTTTTTCATACCCACCTAACGAGCTTTTCTTCATTAAATCAAACAACTCAAGTGCATAATTCACTCTCTCAACCCCACAAAGAACACCAATCAAATCATAATAAAATTTTCTTTCAGGAATCAAACCTTCTTCAATCATCTCATCAACCATTTGTTTCCCTTTCCCAAATCTACCTGTCAAATACAAAACTCTTGCCACAAGATAATACGTTACCCAATCAGGAGCACATGAACATGAACATGAACATGAACACACTGTTTTTTTCATTGTGTTGAGAATTTGTAAAGATTCTTTAACTCTTCTAGTCCTACCCAAACAAGACAACAATATATTGTAACTTACAGTAGTGGGGGCAATTTTGTAACTTCGCATTTCAATCATCACATTCAATGCTTCGGGAACAAGCCCAGAAGGATTAGACTTCAAGTTTTTCTTGCAAAGACATTTGAGAAATGTGTTGTAGCAGAAAAGGTCTGGAGTAATTCCTGCACCCTTCATGTCTTTGATGATTCTTCTTGATTCTTTCACATTTTCTTGAATAGATAACCCGTGAAGTAGGTTTTTGTAAATAACAAGTTTGACACTTGAGATTTTATCTTTATGGTGATAAATGACTCCTTCTGCCCTTTTGATATGCCCTTTTGAACATAAAGCAGAAACTATGGCACTAACTGTGGTACTATCTTGTGGGCATTTTAATTTGTGTAAGTTCTTGAATATTCCCAATGCTTCATCTACTCTTCCTAGTTTCACCAGAGTTTCGGCTACATTACTAAATGTTGAGGTTTCCATAGCCCTATTTTGTTTTCCAAGATTTGAGATTAACATGTCTAATGCTAGGAAATCTTTCTTCTCAGAGAAGACTCTGATAGCATGGTTGTAATCTTTGTCTTCCAGTTTAACATCTGAATGTTTTTCTGACCATAAAAAGAATCTAAGGAGTCGTCTTGTGGGTGCTTCTTTTTTACTTGAATCTAGCACTTGGGTAATGAGTGATGAGCAGAAGGAAACGTTGACTGAGTTAAGAGTGGCTTCTAAGTCGTCTAGACTGCCTATCCCATGAGAGACAACATCGCACAGCTTTTGAAGATCAGTTGATGGTGGTGTTGGGGGAAAAGTAGAGTAGTGATATAACAAAAAATGCTTCGGATTCAAGATAACGACATTTTGCCACTTGGGTTTCAGTAAGGACTTCATATTCTTGGAGAAAACCGTGCAAACGCACATAGTTACACGGCCATTGTTCTCTGAGGCATTTCATCGAGCAACTGGTGTGTATGAAAAAAATTCCCCGAACAACGCCCTCCAAACGTGCATCTTTGATCTATACGTCTGAAATCTCAAAATTAAACCTTAAAACCTGAGAAATTGAGCTCTAGCTTTTGGGAGCTAGTTACAGGTGGGACATGTCGGTGATGGTGCGGTGAACTGGCGTCGGGCTGTCAATTGTCACAAGCAGAAGCACTCAAAGGGGATACGACGAGGCGCCGTTTACATGGAAAGGGGTTGGAGGAGGTGTTGCGTGTTGGTGTCCTACGTCGCGGCTCGGGGCAACTCGGTGAGGACAACAGCAGGTGGTCAAAGGGGAGCTTTTACGAGGGAGAGTTCCAAGCACAAGTGTCAGCTTTTTCACTTTTAACTTTTTCAATAAACTAGGAAAGTCTAAAAGTTGTTTGAGAAGTGGAAAAATAATTTTAAAACCAACTTTTGACAAAGCATACAAACTAGTTTGCAAAAGTCACTTTTTGTATCTTTTGGAACTTTTGCTTTTTAAACATCATCTTTTGGAAAAAGATCTTTTACGAAAAGTCATTTTACAAAAAGGATTTTTCCCCTTGAAAAGGAATCCCAAACACCCCCTAAACCATCTTTAGATAAAAGAAAAAGTTTTACATAGACGTAGCGGGTAAATGAGCAACAAGTTGTGTCGCAACCTCTTTTTGGATGATAAAACTAATTCTTTTAAAAACAACATCTATAGATCTAGGATTCATAACATTACTATGCATGACCTGTTAGACCCTATTGAGTAGCTCCACAGTTTCTGGCACAAAGGAACCAAAAGTATCAAATGCAGAGGGTATAAACGTGCGTTGATTTTCTATGCACGCTTTCTCATGTTTTCTCACTTTGCTTGATGCAACTTTTAAAACAGCTTCCCACAAAGTGAAAATCTCACTCCCCAAGCCCACAAGAGGGGAAACCCTTGTTCGATCCTACCATGTTTGGTTAACGATATTAAAATCAAGACCGCATTTACACGAGTCAATTAAGAGGCGAATATTTTCACCGGAAAAGGTTTTGCATTTGTAAGATTAAGGATGGGACCGGTCGTTTTCATTTCGATTTTGAAGGTGTCATCTTAGAGCATCCCCAACTCACTCCCATTTTCCATTATTTCCCCCATTCTTCTCCAACTCTATTCCATTTATTCCCCCATTTTTGGGGAAATGAATAGTATAACACCAAATATGGTGTTATACTATTCATTTCCCCAAAAATGGGGATGAACTTTGAGTTGTCGAAATTAGACCCTCTTTTTATATATTTATATATTTCTGATTTTTTTATCTACTAATTATATTTTAAATGTAATATTTAATACTTATAATATTGGGTTATATATTAAATTATATCAATTAATTATAAATATAAAGTTTGCTTTTGTTTATCAAATTCATATTAAAATTTAAATACATATTGAAATTTTAAAACACGATAACGTATTTTAAAAAAACCTTATAATTAAGTGTTATAAATATAATCTTATTTATTTAATATTATTGTAATGAAAAAAATATAGATTATATATTTGTTAAAACCAAATTAATATAAGGGGTGTGTTTGACAATTTATATAAGTTAGAAGAATGAAATATATACTTTTTGGGAGTAAACATGGGGTAAAAAATAGAGTAGAGTTGGAGATGAAACACTATTTACCCTATTTTTTACTCCATTTTTGAGAGAAAAAAAATGAAAGTGGGTTGGAGATGGTCTTAGACCGGAGGGTGTGGGTGGGAAACTCCCCTTACTTTTTGTGGGCCACAACAGATTTCTCTCACTTTCCTTTCCGTCACCAAAAGCCAAAGAGTGTGTGGGAAACTCACATCACTTTCTTTTGATTTTTTTAAATAAAACTAATTGATTTTAATGATTATTGGAATTTAAAAGTATAGTGTCTATTTTGTAATTTTTGTAAACTATTTTAGTGAAGAGAATTCAGAGCTCGGGTGTATTCTGCCATAAGACCTAAACATAGGGGCCAAATATGCCATTTCCAGAAACTTCTCATCTGTCTTCCTTCTTCCTCGATTAGAACTTGCAAACTCAAAAAAAAAAAAAAACAAGTTCCAGCCAATCACAAGAAGAGAGAGAGTACGACAACCCTCCCCCCACCTCCTATCCCGCACTGCCGGTGCGGTGTTCCTCCGAGCGGGAATGGCTCACACACACCCTTCCTGCTTCATTCCGTCCAACCTTAGTAACACGACGCTAAAATTACAGTATACAAAACCGGTCCTTGTGATATGTATAAGTTTTATATCCGGTCCAAAAACGAAATTATTTTTATGAGAATTTTATGTTTCTAATATCCGGATGGATTCCAATTCGAGGCTTTGCATTAAATAACTAAATAACCTGAAAACTGGACAAAATAAATGAATTTTGTTGTTTCGGATCCCATCCCAAATGGACAAATCCATGCTTATTTTCATCGGTATAGATGCGTAAAAATCGAATTTGAATTTGTTCAAAACGGAAAAAAAATTCAATCTATAGATATTTCTTTTATCTGGTCACATGATATTCAACCGAACAACCGATCCAAAGGACACAGCGCAAATACAAGGGAAAAAAATGAAATCGGATATTTACCTCGGATAAAAATTCAGTTACAAATAAAAATCCAAGTAGATCCAGATATAATCGTTGGATATTTTTGCAATCTCACCGGTAATATGACCATTCGCAATCTCAACTTCTTTTTTCAATTTCAAAACTAAAAAATGACATCTTCACAAGCTTCTACTTACGCACCCATTATACAGATCATATCTGATACACATAATAGCACATACTTCAAGTAATAAGTCACATATCACTTACATTCTATCACATCTAACTAAACACATATGTATGCTAGCATTATGATCACTAGTCTAAACTACATTCCCTCACTTAAGAGGCTTTTCTCTAATTGCCCTGCATAGACCACCTTCCTCAAAGAGGCTTCGCTTGGTCGACCATCCGTGCATGGTCATCCAGAATGAACACATAACGTATGTTATCCTTCTAATCATTGGTCACAACTAGATTCCCTCACGTAAGAGGCTTTTCTCTAGTTGCCCTGCATGGACCACCTTCCTCAAAGAGGCTTCGTGTGGTCGACAGAGGCGTAGCTAGCTTATGTGAAGGTGGGTCCTAAGACCTACCTTTTTTAAAATTATAATATAAGATATATATGGAAAAAAAATAGGAACTACCTTATTATTTATAAAGGAACTACCTAATTATCTTTGGTAAAAAAAATACTAATCTATATTTTTTTTATCCAATAACCATTTAGAATAGCCTAAATGTCTCAATATAGCCGAATCCATTTAAAATTAAACAAAAAAATGAATTAGAAACGTCGCAACACGCTACGAATCAGATAATCATCGTCAGCCTCTATTGTTCATGTCGTTCGTCAGTTGCTGTCCGGCCAGGCCACCAGCCACTGCCCAGGCACCCACCATCTCCACTGCTAGTATTTTAAGGCATACAATCCGACCGCCACCACTAGTATTTTTTACCTTATTGTTTTTTTTTTCAATTTCATATACATAAGGAACCATGTGGTTTTTGGTTCTAGATTCGCCACTGGTGGTCGACCATCTGTACATGGCCATACAGACTTAACAACTGGATTCCCTTTCCAGGGGGCTTTTCTCCGGTTGTCCAATCCATAACCACTTCCCTCACTTAAGAAGATTTTTGTGGTTTCACCTAACATAATCACATAGTCCATGTAATAAGTAAGTTCATAAGAACTCACCTAAAGAAGTGAAACACATGATAAAACCATTTAAGTGGCTAAGATGGATTGTCCAGCTCCCTGAACACCTACAATCATATACATAGTCCTTACTTGGCCTATATTACAAGTATTATATTATAATACTTATAAAATAGTTAATGATACTTATACAGATTATTCGTTCATCAACTCACCCATTAAACTGATTATAAAATGTATTTACTTAGTCCAAAACATTTATTTGGTTTATGAAACCTAAAAAAAATCTACGATTTATTAGCATTCGATCCCTTGATCAAACTTATAAATTTATCATACTATATAAACCCTAAAAACAATAAAATTGGCCATTTAGTAATTCACATGAAATAAATCACTAAACCTTACTATTGTGATTGTTTATTCACCAATAATATACTATTGGGCCTTATATTTAATAAATGACAAAGATCATATTTATCTTCTTGTTATTATCCTCTAAAACGCATATATACACATGCAGTATGCAGTACGTATGACAATCACAAATATTAAAAGGAATGGAAAAGGGTAATTACCTCAATTACTTCCTATGTTGACTTTCTCATTCTTCATATTTGTTTACTTGGATTCTGCCACTCCTTCATCATGAAAGCCACCTACAACCACTCACGTCAACTGGGTTGACCATTTGAGTTTATTATCATAACAATCTAACACAGAAATCAAAAAGTGAAGAATGGATCCAAATTTTATCATCAAATCACATGTGGAAAAGCCTGAGAAATTCAAAGTCTTAGATTTTCGGAGATGGCAATAGGAGATGTTTTATCTAACAACTCTTCATCTTTCTAATGTTCTCACTAATGATTCTCATTCCCCTCTTACTGATGTGACCACTGCTGAAGGGACAAATCCACCCACTGTAGCCCAATTGGCAGAACATCAAAGGGCTGTGGAATCTTGGAACACAAAAATATATAATTGCAGAAATTATATTCTGAATGCCTTGGATGATTCCCTCTATGATATATACTCGACCATCACTACTGCAAAGAGGGATATGAGAATTATTAGAAAAGAAATACAAAACAGAAGTGACATGTTTCAAGAAAATCATGATTGGAAAGTTCACGAATTTCAAGATGGTGGATACCAAACCTGTCCTTAAACACGTGGAGGAACTTCATGTAATT